AAGCCATATTCTTTGAGGCTGGATTTAATTCATCAAGAATTTGAATATCCTTTATGACTTCTTACATATATAAACACATAAAAATATATTTTCTATATCCAGGGATTCTGATTTATTAAATATCCAGGGCCTGTAAGGTATAGTGTTTGGGAAAAGAGAAAAAAATGTTGTGCAATCAAAGCTCAGAAGCACTAAAACCATCTCATCTGAAAATTTAAGGTGGTGGCCCTGGCCGGTGTGGCTCAGTTGGCTGTCTCCCTGTGCCTGTGCACCAAAAGGTTGCCAATTGGATTCTGGTCAGGGCACGTGCCTGGGTTGTGGCTCAATCCCCAGTAGGGGGCTTGCAGGAGGCAGCTGATGGACGCTTCGCTCTCGCATAGATGTTTCTCTCCCTCTCTCTTACTCTCTCTCTAAAACTCAATAAAAATATACATATTTAAAAATTTAAGGTGGTAAATGTAGTTGTCACCCTTACTTGATTCCTTTTATTGGGGTGTCCCCTCCAAACCTTCAGCCTAGTCAGGGGACTCCAGCCACACCCCTTCCCTCCAGGCTCCTGTGTGAGCTTTTGTACCCCTGCATTTCCCTTTCTACATCAGGGATCTTTTTCCAGGGCCCAAGCTTAATGGTCATTTTAGGCCTCACCCTAGACTTGGATGAGCCAGCTGTGCCAGACTGGATGTGGCAAAGGAAGAAGAAAGGGCAGACCATTAGATGCTCTTCAACCCCCTTTGGGCACCATATTTGAGCTCCAGATTCAGTTCTGTTATTTGCACCTGCAACAGTGCTGGGAGGCTCATTGAGTCTGGGACTTCTTCTAAATGCAAAGGAAGGTGAATGCAGTCCTTCCTGTATCCAGACAAGTGCCACCTACACCCTCGTGTCCTGCATCTTTCCCATAGAGTCTGATTTGGGGAAACCTACTGGGTGAGTGGAAAGGAGAGAGGCTCCGTCTGTGTCTCTCTCCAGTCTGGAATGGGAGTAGCCGTTGCAGGACTTGGCACAGGGTTACTGCGGTGCGTTTCAGTTGGGTTCCATCAGAAGCAGACTCCGACACAAGGGTTTGCGGGCAGATGGTTTTCAGGGCAGGTGAAGGAAACAGGTTAGGGGAGTGGGAAGAGCCACCAGGGAAGGGAAGGCGGCCAGTGCAGGTGCATCCCTTAGGCAGTTACCAATGTGGACAACTGGAGCTCGCAGCCAAACCCGCACGCCCACCGCACAGCTGTTTTAAACATAACTACTTCATGTGGTCACATAGAATGACAACTGAATTAATTCAAATATTGTGTCTTCATCTTCACAATCCCTGTGCTATCATTGTTTATTCATAACCTATTGTTTTCATAAAAAATATATATGGTACCACGGGTTGAACTGCAGCCTTTATGAGCTCGAAGGATTTCAAACTATTATAACTCACTAATGAAACAAAAGCTTATAGGTGAATTCCTGTGTGTCTGGGGCTGGCTGTGTAATGGGAAGTTCTTCCAGTTAATTTCCATGTGTCATATAATGTGTATTATAGAATAAGTAACAAAATGTGCTGATTTAATCTATATGAAATCTTAACAGTAACCACATCAATTATTTGGAATATAGACCCACAAAGTATTTCTTAGGGAGTAGTCCTTTGTCACTGACATTAAATTATTTAGAGTTTCCAGTGCATGGAAAGCAGATTACGTTTCCTAATCCATTTAGTTACTGTTTTATAATTCTCTTAATGTACAGCCTTATTACCTGCACTCAGACCACAATCAGTACCCCCCCCTTTAGTACTCTTCTGCCCCCTACTCTCATCCCTACCCCTTTAATATAATTAGGAAGGAATTCTCTGCTTTCTTCTAGAGCCAGGTAGTAGGAAAGCATTGTTAAGATTGGACTGTGTTTTCCAGGGAACCAGGGTTGAATGCCAATTTTGAGCAGAAGTAACCGGGGTGCGGGGTGGGGAGATGTGTTCCTTGCATCCAAATTATAATTTGAAATATTTTTTTCTTTTTGTATTTCCTTTATAAATACATAAAATAAGGCCTATAGCAGTCGGTAGAATGATGCATTTATGGTCTGCTCATGGGAAGCCAATGACCTTTCGAAATGTGTTTTTCTTTTACTCTTGGGAAAATGCATTCTTAATCATAAACAAATTTGGGGAGTATAACTTCCATCACACATTGTGGTACGGTCTAATAGAATGTTCTGGAATGGACTTGAATTGATCAGACTTAGTTTTTACCTCAGATCCGCAGATGACTTTTCTCTGTGAACCTGGGCAAAGTTAATTGTCCTCTTTGGGTCCCATGAATTCTCTCTCTCTCTCTCTCTCTCTCTGAGTTAAGAGGCCATATGGCTCTTTTTAAAGATCAAATATAAGGGCATGATTATTGGTATAACCACAGCTGCTAGTTGCATTATTCAGGGATCAATTGTGTTGTCTCATTTTCTTTCTCTTTTTGTTTTTCACAAATGGGTAACCATTCAAAGTGTAAGGTAACTGGTTTATATTCCATCACATTTGAATACAGGATTTGAACAGGGACATTCCTGCTTTGCATGTTTTGATCATTCGGAAAGAGAAGTAGCTCCCCTGAGCTTATTAGCAGGACTCACAAAACAGTCTCAGAACGCTTAAGGCTCCTTCAGAGGACATACTCTTTTTAAGAGATCTGCAAGTCTCCTTTCACTGTATGTTACAGACGCAGATATTACAAAATATGTTTTGTCTTTTTCTTTTTAGAAATACCCCCAAAACATCTTACTAGTTAATGCTTTGCTTAGTTAATTTTGATTATTTTCTCTATATAATTGGGGGAAAAAACTTAAGTGTTTCATAGTTTACACTCATTACTAACTTGCGCAGATTTTTCTGGTTATGACTTGAAGTGGTAACGTGATAAATTTCACTAATCTCATTCCAGCTCTTCTGTCCCTAGGCAGAGTTTATTCTATCCCTCGCTAACTTTTAATATAATGAAAAGACAGTTGTCAAAGGATGGGCTTTACTAAATTCTAAAATGCTTAGAGATTTCTAAATATGGGGTCACCCAAAAAAATGTATACACACACTTTGAATAATTTATGAAGATGGTGTTTATTAAAATACGTTTCATTTTCAACATTGCGCTATCAGCTGTTGAAGTGTGTATGTATTTTTTGGGACACCCCGAATTTGCCCAAACTAAACAACAATGATAAGAAGGAGAAGGAGATGACTGACTAAAATTTGTTGAGCACACAGAAGTGCAAAAAATAGTCTTTAAAACAATAACCACATTTAAGACAACACTTCCGTAGAGCATATAATTTCTTTCTTTATGGCTGAGTACATTGAGGCACAGAGAAATTTAACCACACACCATTCCAGAGCCTGAGCTCACGCCTTTCTTTACAAATATTTGTGTGTTGAACTGTATTAATATCACATACTTCAGCTAATTTTCACTGATCATGTCCTGTGTGCCAGGCACTGGGAATAAAAATACGAGTGGAACCAGCCCTTCCAGAAGCCCGTCTGGCTTAGGCCTCTGTGTTCAGGACTGAAATATGGAAAGACTTGTTTCATCAGA